AAACACTACCTGAGGAGAGGAGGAGGAAGTCTGGAGGACGAAGAGCTAAGCGGTTACAACACAAGAATATATATCTGTATATATAAATAACAGAGATGTCTGTGTGTCCTCACTGCCTTATATATAAACAGAAATGTCTTTGTGTCCTCACCCAGCAGCTCTTCGTCCTCCAGACTTCCTCCTCCTCTCCTCAGGTAGTGTTTGGAGAAGGTGTGAGAACACAGCAGGTCGCTCAGACACGATGACGGCAGCTTCTGCTTCAGGTAGTGAAGCAGCTTCTTAGCCACGTCTCCGGGGACAGACAGACCAATCAGGGACGAATCGTCAAGCTCCGCCTCCTTCAGGACAGACAGACAAACACAGAAGACAGTGTTTTACAAACAGATGGGAGAGAAATAGAACCAGACTCAAGAAACAAAGACCAGAGCCTCAGTTTCCCAGCATGCTCCTTGGCCTCTGTGTTCCCTCACCTGGTCATTGAGGCTCTGCAGTAGGACACCGTTGACCTCCTGCTGCTGTTTGAGCTCCAGCTTCTTGATGAAGAAGAGGATCTCCCACCACTCAGCCCGACTCAGAGCCGGCGTCTCCAGGTGCAGACCCTCTGACAGGTAGGGCAGAGAGTAGAGACCACCGGGGGGCTTGGAGAAGAACGTCTGACTCACTGAGGGAGCAGAAGAAGAAACAGGTTCACCTCCTGAGGTCAGGTACACAGGCAGGTGGACTCTTCAGGTGGGTTCAGATCTTACCCGCCGTGAGTTTGAGAGTCTCCGTCAGGGTCGACGCCTTCTCCTGCGTCTCCTTCTCAGCCTGACTGCTGCTGCCGCTCCCCAGGATCTCCACCATGTGCCAGTGGACCCAGTAGGTCCTGGACAGGGAGTTCCAGTACACCTGAACACAGCACACAGAGACGGGCCAGGGTCTGGAGAGGGTCTAATAGATCCTACGTGATCCGAAATGAAAACACACATTCTGCTGGTACGATGGAGTCCTCCAGTCTCCTTAACAAATTCAAGGTTATTATGGTCTGTATAAGAACCACGGGAACAGAACCGGATCAGAACCAAGGCTCAATGTTAGTGAGGTCAGCAGCAGAAACACTGAACTAGAGTAGTTCTACTCTAGTTCAGTGTTTCTGCTCCACACATCTGGAACAAAGTCCCAGAAAGCTGCAGGTCTGCTGAGACCCTCGGCTCCTTTAAATCAAGACTGAAGACTTTTCTGTTTGCTGCCTTTAATTCAACCACATTCAAGGATATTAATACATTTCTGCATTTTACTACTGTATTTTATTTCTTACACTGCTTTTTCGTGTTTTAATGAATGTTCTTAAATCTCCTTTTCTTTTGCCTCATGTTTTGATGTTTTTAATGGTTTTATGTGAAGCACTTTGAATTACCTTGTTGAAATGTGCTGTACAAATAAACATGCCTTGCAGGAGGTGGTACCAACTCCTGGTTCCTCTGGGTGAAACGAACTATATACTTGTCCAGTAAATGCTCCTTTAATCCTCCTCCCAGCAGGAGGAGCTGTAGCCTCTAACAGCTGGAAGCAGCGTTCACAAACATGATGATAACCTGACAGTCTGAACACAAACATGTGCTCACTGTAATATGTTTCAGTGTGTGTAGAGCAGATCTTTGTTTACTGTTTCCTCACCTGAACCGGTGGCGAGCCGTCGTTGCTGTAGCGAAACTCTCCTTCATCTCCGACGCTGACCTCCTCGTAGTCCTCCAGCATGCGGACCATCATGCCACTCTTCAGGTTGTCCTGGACGTACTCCACGTAGGCTGAGCGGCTGGCGAAGTCGGAGCGAGTTTTGTATCCGTTTCCCGTCTTCTTCTTGGGTGGCGAGGCAGCGGAGGCGGCGGCGGCGGCTACAGGAGCGGCTACGGTGGAGGTGGCGGTGAGGACAACGGGGGAGGTGCAGAAACGAGGCTGGAAGATGGACCTGAGGACGGGGCGGGACACCTCCTCCCCAGGCTCCTCCCTACAGGCCCCGCCTCCTCCCGGGCCGTGGGCGGAGCCGTCGGAGGACTGGCGGTTCCGGTCCCAGCCCATCACGCGGACCAGCTCTGAGATGAGGTTGGCCATCGCCACAGTGAAGTCGAACTCTCGCTGAACGCGGAGGTGATCCGTCTGGTGGGCGGTGCTGGAGGAGGAGGTGGAGGCGGCGGGGGAGGGGCTGCCGTCCTGTCTGTCAGAGTTTGACTCCGCCCCCCCTGCCGTGTTGAGCTTGTCCATCAGTGACGTCACGCACAGGTAACGCTTCACCAGAGAGAACAGAAGCTTCCCAGGAATCTGAGCAATGTTATTAATCACAATCATTGATAATAATATTTTTATTAGTAATGATAACAATAATAATAAGACAGTGTCTCCTAAAGGAGTGGACAGTCTTTACCTGAGGAAGGTGGATCCCTTCAAAGGAGATGCCGTGCTCCTCTGAGGACGTGGTCTCTGCAAACAGCTCCAGAAGAGTGTAGCGGTTATCAAAGTCCATGTGCTGCTCAATGCCGTCCTGCTGACTGAGGGACAAGAGGACGTACGCCCGACTTCCTGTAAGGGGGACAGGAGGAGACAAAGTCAGAGACAAGAGGACACAGAGACAAAGAGGACACAGAGACAGAGCGACAAGGGGACACAGGAGAGACAAGAGGAAACAGAGACAGAGGACACAGGAGAGACAAGAGGAAACAGAGACAGAGGACACAGGAGAGACAAGAGGACGCAGGAGAGTCAAGAGGACACAGAGACAGAGAAGAAGACTGCCAGCTAGTAAACATGGACGTAAACAATGCTGCTTTAGTGAGAAACAGCGTAGTTTCAGTCACAGTAGTAGTTAGACATGTTTGTGAAAGACACGGCACACCCACCAGTCAAACATCAGTAGTGATCCAGGATGACTCAGCATATTTTAGCAGCGATCTGCTGACTTCAGCTGAAGTGAACTGCTTCAAAATAGATCCGAGAGCAGCAACTTGTGTCTAACAGAGGATCTGTGTAGCCCCCCCGCCCCCCCTCTCTGAAGTCCCATTGGTTTAAACTTCGTCACATGATGTCTCTAGCAAAATGCTAAAAAAGGAAGCTGCATTTGTGTTTTTGAGAAACAGAGTCAGAGCTCTCCTCTGGTCTGATGTTATCACACTGAACGCTGCAATGACTCATGGGAAAAACTCTCAGCTGCTCCTCGCCCACAAAAAGAAGTAGAAGAAGAAGAAGAAGACGTAGTAGTAGAAGAAGAGGAAGTGATGGATGAAAAACACAAACACAGTGGATGTCGATATGAACGAGAGCCAGAACAGAGCAGGCCGGGTTGTTTTACCGTTTTGTCAGCTATGTAAAGCATGTGTCTACATGACCTCATCAGAAAGCTGTTAGCCAATCAGAAAGCAGTAAGTAAAGCCTGTAAATAAAGGTTTTACCTGCGTCGTGTGAGGCGAGCGCTCGCAGCATCTTTCCGGCACTGCGTCGCGTCTGCGTCTCCTTGTTGCAGAGCAGCTCCATCAGCAGGTTGAGGGCTCCGGTCTCCTTGAAGACGCCGACCAGCGAGCCGATGGCGGCATAGGCGCTCAGCACGTGGATGGTGTGCGTGATGCTGATGGAGAAGTCGCTCTTCTTGGCCATCTGCTTCCTGGCTCGACACACCAGGTTCTTCACGTCCTGCTTCATGTCTGACAGCTCCACCTCATCGAAGGTGACATCGGCGGGGAACTCGGCGCCACCGTCGGAGGCATCGCCACGCTGCGCCTCCTGCTGCTGCGGGTCCGACTTCCTCTTCCCCAGCAGGCCGGGGCAGTTGGCGTACACGTCCTCCGTGGACATCCACATCAGGATGTTCTCCGGTTTGCTCTCTCCTGACGTGGAGCCGCCGGACCCGTCCGACCCGGAGCCACCGCCGGAGCCACCGGAGCTACCGCCGCACGCACCGCCCGCCTCGCAGGCTCCACCCCCGGAGCCGTCGTCGATGGTGACCAGGCACCAGCGAATCAGGTACTCCGTCTGTCCGTCGTGGTTGCGGCGCTGACGGATCAGCTCCTCTGGGTACGCCTGCAGCCTCGGGCCCAGCTGGACCAGCAGGTTCCCATTGCGGTGTTCGCCCACCATGGTTGCTGAGGAGACATTATTATTATTATTAGAGATCAATAAATAACGTCATCTACTTCCCCCTGTACCGCCAACGACGTCATCTACTTCCCCCTGTACCGCCAACGACGTCATCTACTTCAAGTATCAAAACAAGAACTAAAGAACCAACTAGAACTTTACTGTTAGCTAGCTTCAGTATAACTTTTTACCTCCAGATTTAAGGCGTCATCGATTCTCAGCAAAGATTAAGAAAGTTTGAACTTTATTTAACAACATTACACAATTTCATAGAATCTTCATGAACACAATTCTTAAAGGTCTCACAACCTCTGGACGCGTTATCATGGAAACACTTTAACGTCATGTTTGAGCAGCATAACGTCACGATGACTCAAGACACGAACACCGGTCTCCTAGTTTAAAGTCCTGTGTTTGTTTGACATGTTTCTAAGAGCGGCTTGTTGTTGTTTTGGTTCGTCACGTCAACACCTCAATCACCTGAAAACAACCAGGAATCACCTCCATTCCTTCGGAATTCTTTTGTTTCCATTCAATTTTATTGTATTTACACTTTACACTGTTTTCATACTTTATTTATTACGAGGGGAGTTGTTGTCGTACAAAGCTTTATCTAAACTGCCACTTCAACGACTAAATGTTGTAACGTTGAAATATTTCCACTCAAGTTAGAAATATTCAAACATTTCAACCACAGAGAGGAGGAAGTACTTTATACTGAAGTATCAGCTTCACAATACACTTAAGGGACCACAAGTACTCATGATGCATCAGTAATATATATCACATCACATAGGACAAGTAGAAAAGTAGCAGATAATGAAAAGTACCTCAAAATAAGTACCTATGTACAGTACTTAGTTATTGTACAGTTTATTTTACAGTATAATGTAATTATTGATCCTATGATTCTGAGCTGCAGTATTTAGCCGGATGAGATGAACGAACACACACACACACGCACACGCACACACACACACACACACACACACACGAACTGTGATAACATGGAATGAATGAGTTAGTTAGTTAGAGTCAGTCAGTTCCTCTTTCTCTGAAACCAGATGTTTATCAGCAGGGGTCTGTCTAATTACTGAAGAAACACTCACTCACACGACACACACCTATGACACACACCTATGACACACACGACACACACCCATGACACACACGACACACACCCACATTTAGCTCATACTGACATTACGTAGCTGTTATTATTGCTAACACCAGCTAGCTAGCTAGCGGCTGTGAAGTTATCTAGTCCTAGTAAATAGCCGGGTCCCTGATGTTGTAACGTAAACCTGACCGCCGAGCTAACCGCTAACCTGCTAACGTTAGCGCTCTCTTCTGCGTGTCAGATGGGCAGATCACTTCTGCGCACTTTCACAGAACATCTAGTTAGCTAGCTAGCATGCTAACACCAGCTCTCTCTCACGCGACCGTTGTTGACAGCAGAACGTGATCACCAAAGTCCCTTTGAAAACCTCCACATTTAACGCGTCACTGATTACGAGCAAAGATGAATTAAAGTTTTAAACATTTCCAGGATTCCACAGAATCTAGTGTTGAATTCGGGATGTACACACTTCTTACGAAAGTACACTAATAATACACAACTTCCACATCACTTCACATCCTGACGCTACGTCGGTGGAGGAATATTATTGGAATAAAACAGCTTAAAAAGTGAATTCCTTATTGTTTGATTAGTTAGAGTGCATTAATGTCCATCACACAACACCTCAAATGCGATGTTTCTGTTTACATGTCGTGGGTTACACGCATAGTTGCGCATAGTTGGCGTGTTTCTGAACGCAGTTTGGTGTGTTTCAGGTCTTACCTGCCGTGTCGCTGACGACCTCCCCCCTCGTTTCTGTCTCCCCTCTCGCGCGCTGGTTTCTCTTCCGCCCCGACGTGTCGGTTCCGGGTCTGCAGGAGTTCGTCTCGTCGCTTTGCACCGGAGGTCCGCTCCGCTGCTGGATGCGCATTTGCGCACTTGTGACAGGGAGCAGCACTCTTCTTCTTCTACGTCTACTTCCTCTGCGAGCTTCTTCTTCTTCTTCTTTTAAGTTTTATGGCGGATGGCAAACAGCTTCCAGGTGCATTACCGCCACCTACTGGTCTGGAGTGTGGACCAGAGTAACCTATCCCCTTACAAAACAAAACAAAAAGGAGTTCTATCATTTCGGTGACTTAAATTCTTTGACTCAATCCTGTTTATTTCACTATTGAGTACATTTCCTGCCGGTTAATGCATCTTTTAGGTTTAGTTCCTGAACTCCCAGCCTCCTCTTCAACCTGTCTCGCTCGAGTGTGAATTTCTGGCAATAATATTGTAATGATCACAAAAGTCTGCCTGTGTGTTATATAATTAGGTGAATTGTTACAACATATGATATGGTCTACATATTCTGGTATTTGTCAGTGCTCACATAGTCCTGATGGGTGTTTATTTATTAGTTGCATTGTTTTGTTCAGCCTTGTGTGTCCAATCCTCAGTCTGGTTAATGTGTTTTCTTCTGTGGTGCTTCTTCTGGATGTCCTTTCTTTGCCGACTTCTCTCTGAACAGCATACAGATGTCTTCCTGTGTCTCCTACATCCCAACTGTGCTGCCATTCCTTCATAATGTTTCTTTTGATTATTGATTTAGCTTCTGCTTTGCTGAGTAACATGTCTGTCTTGTGCTGACTGTCTAAAGCTTGTTTTGCTCTTTCGTTTGCTTTTACCCCTCTGTGTGCTGGTACCCATAGAAATGAGACTAAAATACCCATATTCTTAAGTCGGAACAGTGGTTCGTACATTTCATTAATTAAACCCTGCCTGCTATGAGATGTGAATGATTGTAATGAGAGTAATGCTGAACTGGAATCTGAACAGACAACGACCTTTTCGATCCGAACCTCCTCTACCCACTGCAGTGCTGTTAAACTGGCCAACGTCTCAACTGTATAAACAGATGATCTGATGTTCTCCTTTTGACTTCATATTGCAAGGTTGGTATGGTGACCGCAAAACCAGTCCTACCTGTATCAGGATCTTTAGACCCATCTGTGTATACTGGAGTAAATGACTGGTATGTTGTCTGTCTGTCCTCCACCACTCCAGCCATGTTATCAATGTCCTTAAATGCCTGGGTTTTGTCCTAAACATAATGATCAACTGACCCTGAGGGAAACAGCCACGGTGGTGTAGTTGATGACGGTCCTGTAGGAGTGAATGATATCTGATCCAATCACACATCTCTTGCTAATGTCCCACTGCTCCATGTAAAACATTCCCGTTTGTCCCGTTCTCTTTCCCAACATGGCAGAAGCACCTTTGCAGTTGGATGATTATCTCCAGAATGTCCTTGATTGGCCCAGTAGTTCATAGTTAAGAGCTTAGTCTCAAATGCAGCGGTGTCTCACCTCCACCTGAAGAGCAGCCACGGGACTCGTCTTAAAAGCTCCACAACACAGTCTCAGAGCTCGGGATTGTAATACTTCCAGCTTCTTTAGTGAAGTTTTTGCAGCTGATCCAAATACTACACAACCATAATCAAGGACTGACCTCATCAGATATCAATATGTTTGATTGCAGACCTGCTGGCTCCCCATCCTGACCCTGTCAGACACCTCATTACATTTAGAATCTCTTTACATTTCATAACTGTCCTCTGAATATGTTCATTCCATGTTCATCTATCATCGAGCCTCACACCAAGAAACCTAAAGACTTTCACTTCTTCAATCTTTAGCCCGTGCATCTTTATCTGAGCATCAGCTCCCCTCTTTCTAGTAAACATGATCGCTTTGAAGCTCCATGAATAAGACCATCTCTCTACCACATTCACAGCCTCTTGGACTTTCCCTTTAATGTGTTTATGTTCTTCCCCCTCTTCCACAGTGCTCCATCATCAGCAAATAGGGATCGTCCAATATCACCCTGAACCTGAAGGAAAACATCATGTATCATGATGGAGAAGAGTATCGGACTGATGACACTACCCTGAGGTGTTCCAGTCTCTGCCTGGTATCTTATAGATAGTGCTTGTCACGATCAGGCTTTGCCTTCTGTGTTCTGTGTTTTTCTGTAGCTCCTCACTCTACCTCTCAGCCACTCCCTCAGCACCAGTCCAACTCCCTTCACCTGTCCCTGATCAGTAATCAAGCTCTCCCTGATCAGCACAACTCTCCTCACCTGTTCAAGTCTCCTTATAAACCCCTGTCTCTCAGTCACTCACTGCCAGCTCATTGTTTGTGTTCATGTCTACCCGCCCGTGTTTGCTCGTCCTGTTCCCGGTTTCCCCGTCTGCCTGCCCTGCCTCGTTTCCCTCTGGATTTCCCCCCTAGTCCCTTGTCTTGTGCTTGGACTCCCTGTTGTGTTAGTACTTATTCCTTTTGTGTTTAATAAAACGCCTGCTTCACGCTACTCTGCCTGGTCTGCGTTTGAGTCCTCCACCATGCCCCGTGACAGAGCTGCCCCAATGCTGACCTGAATAAAGCTGTTAATTAAAAAATATTTAATCTGCGAGCTTCTTCTTCTTCGAGTGTTTATCGCGGTTGGCAAACAGCTTCCAGGTGCATTACCGCCACCAACTGGTCTGGGGTGTGAACTAAGAATATCCTCTCTTTTAATATATATACTAGTGCTGGCCAACGATTACAATGTTTAATCTCATTGTTTTGCGCAAAGTTCAATAATGAATTCAAAAGTAGTGTATTGTGCACTTTTATTTTAAAGTGCTGCTATATGAACTAAAGGTCAATAACATTTGGTGTAAACACTTTAAACACATCAGGTTCTTGTTAGCAGCAGTATTCCCTTTACACAGCAGCAGTTATAACACAGTTATAATGATTCTGATCATAGATATTCAGCCGGTGTTCACATCTTTATCTTTATGTGTGGAAGAGATGATATTTAAATATACATCTTGAAAACTGCAAACATATCTACGTCATGTTTTTATGTTTGTTAAATTCTCAGTAGTGATACTAAATGATGCTTATTATACATATTACAAACAAAACACTTTAAAAACTCTAACACAATCATTTAAATGAATCATTTATTTTTTGCTTCCTTTGGTATTGTGGTCAGACACATATGCAACGCTGATTACCGATGAGATCCGGAGGAGCGGTGAGCTTCTACTCTAAACTCTACTCTAAACTCTACTGTAGTGAATACACCAACGACAATGAACTGTTTGAGTCCTTCTGTAGAGAGCTGCCAAAGGTCCCAGAGGATGTGAACGCCGGGTTGGAGGGTCATCTGGTGACAGATGAACTGTACGCGGCTCTGCAGGGCATGGGGGGGGGAGGCCCCCGGGATTGACGGGATCCAGATAGAGCTCTACAAAGAGTTCTGGAGCGTGATGACAGAAGACCGTTTAACTGTTTTTAATGACAGTATTAAGGACATGATGCTGCCGCTCAGCTGCAGGAGGGCAGTAATAACTTTACTGCCAAAAAAAGGAGACCTGCAGGAGATGAAGAACTGGCGTCCTGTGTCCCTTCTCTGCTCAGACTACAAGATCCTGTCCAAAGCGCTGGCCAACAGACTAAGAGAAGTGATGGACCAGGTCATCCACCGGGACCAGACCTACTGCGTGCCTGGTAGGAGCATCCTGGACAATGTGTCCTTAATGCATGATATTTTGGACATCTCTGGTTCTTTGGGCATTACAACTGGTCTCATTTCTCTAGACCAGGACCTTGGCCGGGTTGAGCACCTTTACCTCTGGAAGACTCTAGAGCGTTTTGGCCTCAGCCCAGGTCTCATAGCTATGATCAAGGTTTTGTACCAGGACATTGAGAGTGTGAACATCAATGGAGGTCTTAGTGGAGGTCTTAGTGCCCCCTTTAGAGTGTTTAGAGGGGTGAGACAGGGCTGCTCTCTCTCAGGGATGCTGTATGCGCTGGCTATCGAACCCATGTTGTGCAAAATCAGAGCGAACATTGAAGGTCAGTCTTTAAAGGGTTTTAACAAAAGTTTTATTTTATCTGCTTATGCTGACGACTTTGTGGTCTTTGTTAGAAACCAGGAGGAGTTCAGTAAATTGATCACTATTGTGAAAGACTTCGGCACCCTGTCAGCCGCAAAGGTGAACTGGGCAAAGAGTGAAGCACTGGCAGTGGGGAACTGGAGGGAGGGTCTGCCCGGTCTACCAGGGGGGTGACCTGGAAAAGGACAGGTTTAAATATCTTGGTGTGTATGTGGGGAATGAATGTATTGTAAAGAAGAACTGGGAGGGAGTTGTGGAGAACATGCAGGGAAGACTGACTAAGTGGAAATGTCTGAAGCCACAGATGTTGTACAGAGGCAGGACTCTGGTCTTCAATAATCTGGTGGCTTCAACTCTGTGGCACAAGCTGGTCTGCATGGACCCCCCTAAAGGCCTCACACAGAGACTACAGGCCATCCTCACAGACTTCTTCTGGGACAGGCTGCACTTGGTCCCTCAGAGCGTACTCTTTCTACCTAAGGAGGAGGGGGGTCAGGGGCTCGTGCACATTGACAGCAGAGTGACCACTTTCAGGGTCCAGTTCTCACAGAGATATCTCACAGGTCCAACACGGATGTGGTGTGGAGAGAGGTAACAGACTGTGTTCTAAGGAAGGCAGCTGGTCTGGGGCTGGACACTGCACTTTTTTAATGGATTTCAATCTTTTTAAATTGTGTGGATTATCTCCTTTTTACCAGTCGCTCTTTAAGGCTTGGAACTGTTTTAAATGGTTGAGACCGGAACCCACGTGTTCACACTGGCTGCTTCAGGAACCGCTGGTGTACGGAGCCAGGATGGACATACAGGACGGCACGACTCCAGGTCTGAACAGCATGCTATGCCCCTCTGGGACCACCACCCTGAGGACACTGGTGGAGGTAGATGTTCCTGGACTGCAGGAGAACCATCCTCCGGTCAGACGGACACCTTCCTGCCCGCCTGTCTCTCCTCTCTCTCGGAGCTCCGGACCATCCAGACCCACCGGGACTCTTTCGGCTCCTGTAGCCGGCACAGAGATCACTGAGGGCGGCTGTAGGACGGAGGAGGGATCGGACGGATGGACGCAGGGTCTCGTGTCTCACCTTGGGAGGTGAGTGTGTGCGGTCGTGATCACACAACATGTTTAGCATCACCGGGATGACGTCAGAGCCGGTTACAGTCTCCGGTATTCAGGATCCCACCGGAGAGTAAACATGTAAACACGTGACAACGGGATATACACGTCCACGTGCGCGCGTGAAGCTCAGGGTTGCATCAATATGCAGGATTATTTGATTTAGTAATGTTCAAAAATATGTTGACAATGACGTCATCTAAATATCAGCATTCACTACTGCATGGTACTCAACATAGGGCCCGGGGCCCTGCAGAGGTCTCCAGGTTTATATGAGGGGTGGTCACACACGCGTGCGTGTGTGTGTGAAAATCAATAAAACAATAATAATAAAACAGACTTCTGATATGAAAACATGAACGATGAAGAAGATCTCTGACAGAAACTAAAGTTGAGGTTGTCACTGAAATCTTCTCCTTCTCCTTATTTTCCTTCTTCTCCTTCTTCTCCTCCTCTTCTCCTCCTTCTTCTGGTTCTGTAGATGATGTGTGTCTCTCTGTCCTCCTCTGGTCCATCCTTCATGTCTCCTTCAGGATGAACTCAAGTCTCCTTGTCCACTAAGGAAGCATCGTGTGTTTCTGATCAATAAACATCAAAAGTATTGATCAGGATAAAACATATTTATTGTATTTTTGTTCTGTTGTTGTTGTGTTGTTGTTCTGTTGTTGTATTTTTGTTCTGTTGTTGTTGTGTTGTTGTTCTGTTGTTGTATTGTTGTTCTGTTGTTGTAATGTTGTTCTGTTGTATTGTTGTTGTAATGTTGTTGTAATGTTGTTCTGTTGTTGTTGTATTGTTGTTCTGTTGTTGTATTGTTGTTCTGTTGTTGTAATGTTGTTCTGTTGTATTGTTGTTGTAATGTTGTTGTTGTATTGTTGTTCTACTGTTGTTGTAATGTTGTTCTGTTGTATTGTTTTTGTATTGTTGTTGTAATGTTGTTCTGTTGTTGTTGTATTGTTGTTCTGTTGTTGTATTGTTGTTATATTGTTGTTCTGTTGTTGTTGTATTGTTGTTCTGTTGTTGTATTGTTGTTATATTGTTGTTCTGTTGTTGTTGTATTGTTGTTCCTCGTACGTGGCTAACTGAGTTAGCCGGATACTTGTCAGGATAAGATGACGTAGATCAGGCTTTTCGGTTCCACGAAGCAAGTTTGGCAAAATCACCATGGCAACACATCCATAAGCTTGAAGCTGCTCCAGCGCAGGCTAACTGAAGGTAGCTGGATAAGCTGCCACTCCCCCGGAAAACATGGCAGCTCCTGTCATATATGGTAGTCTAATGCGCTTGCGCATATACCGGGGGTTATACGGGAGTTCCAGAAATGCATGTAAAGTGAGACACACGGTGATCCATTAAAGCAGCTGAGCAAACTAAGAAGCCTCTATTGCATTAATGTACAGCTCCCTTCCTCAGAGATCCACTGATGAAGGAGGATATTAGTTAGATTAGCGTTTTATAGGGAGAGAGTTCTTCCACATCGCCAAGATCCGTTATCACATCACGATGACTTCCTATACGAGCGCTATCCATTCTGCCCACAAGGAATCATTTATTTACAGACCTTCTGGAGCATACATTGAACACCACACGCTGCAGCCGAGCATTGATGTCTCACACACTGGATGCAGCCTTGAGCTGTTCTGCGAGTGGTACATTGTTGTACAGTGTCGGCGATGCGGAGAACATGGGGAAAGCCGCTGCATGCCGTGCTGCTCAAAAGTTTATTTGGCGCTTAATAAACCTTCTGGTGACGAGCGGCCCCCATTTCACTCCACACTCCCCCACTCCACAACCGGTGAAAGTTCTGGGAGAGGACGTGGACATGGTGGAGGAGTACTAGTACCTGGGTGTCTCCATCGACAACAGGCTGAACTGGAAGGCCAACATCAACGCTGTGTACAAGAAGGGGAGGAGTCGACTCTTCTTCTTGAGGAAACTTCGATCCTTCAACGTGTGCAGCAAGATGTTGGAGATGTTCTACCGGTCTGTTGTGGCCAGTGCACTGTACTTCTGTAGTCTGCTGGGGGAGCAGCATTGGAGCCGGAGACACCAACAGACTTAATAAACTGATTAAGAAGGCCGGCTCCATCATTGGCTGCAAACAAGACTATCTGGAAGAGGTGGTGGAGAGGAGGACACTGAAGAAACTATTATCCATATTGGATAACCCGGACCACCCTCTCCACCACCTACTGCAGGGACAGCGGAGCACTTTCTCCAACAGACTGATTCAGCTCCGCTGTCACAAGGACCGATACAGGAGAACATTCCTGCCCTCTGCTATAAGACTCTATAATAAATCACCTCTGGCCAAATCAAACACAAGACTATAACACTGCTACACTGTTGTTGAGCTGCTGGTGATCTTGTGCAGTTTATTTTTTCCTACTCAGTTCATTTAATACGATTCTACTTAGTGTATATACTGTGCATTTTTATTACTTTATCTTCTTAAATCGAATAGGCCCTGCTCGGTTATTCTATTCTATTTTATTACATTGTATATATTGTGAATTTTACACACTTAATATTTTTATTCTATTGTGTAACCCTGTTTGCTGCTGCCACAGACAAATTTCCCCTTGGGGATGAATGAAGTACTATTCTATTCTATTCTATTCATTTGGGGGCTCTCGGGCTCAGCCCCCCTGAAAATATTGTTCGGAAAATGGACTTATTCTTCGCCAGAATTGTACATGTGTACTTTTTTTTTTACCGGATTAAACAGCAACGTATGGGCAACACTATCATATAAGTCACTTTTTACACACTCCAAACACAACTATAGACTACTAGTATAAGCATCTAGAACATGTGGCATAAAAGCATGAAATCCTGGGCAAAAATCACCGTTATGTGTACTGCAAATCAATATTTGCACCATGAAGCTAGCAGCTAGCCGGCTAATCCGCACATCGTTTAGCATTAGCATTCGACACAGAACGCATAAATACCTTCGGTTTTTCTCTCCGTGAAACCAGTAGGAAGCTGTGAGTGGACAACGGTACAATGGCACTGCCCTTCACCGGAAAAATTGTTGGTTCTTTGTCACTTTTTATGAAAAATGAAGACAATATCATCGAAAATTATCCAGTTCAAAGCTAGAATCAATGATGGCAACTGCATGCTGTTTACATCAGATCTGTTTCCTGTGGAAGGGGGTCAATCCACCATGGGCAAGCGGTCAGGCTTCCGGCGAACGGAAATTTACGCTTGGGGAGACCTGGCACTTCTTGCAACTTACTCGCTGAAACTTCTGTCAATCAACACCCGCTTCGACACCCGCCTTCCTGAGACTCTGACGCGTCTAAGGAGGGCTCATTGACTGAAATCGACCGATGACAGGCTGAGCTACAGCCCCATACACACACAGCAACTGAGAAAATCCTATGGATGACAGCCAGAAACAGGCTCTGAGAGCACCCTTGCTGTCAAAATGATTTCTAACGGGTGTATTTGGATGTATTGAATAATATGAGTGATAAAAAAAGTGAAATATATAGTTATATAGTATATAAAATTAGAATAGAGCATGAGAGAGAAATGAGAATTCGGCTTGAAATTCTGTACTCAGACCTCCTATTATGCTGGCCTGCTTCACTCAATCTAAGTAAAATTAGCTTAGAGAGACCACAACCCTGTTGTGCTATGACTGTGGAGTATTTTTAGGCTTCACTCTGCATTATTTCAAAAAAAATGTTCAATGAAAGTGCTTTTTTTTTCAGGTGAACCTGAAACTTTTTTCAATTTGAGCTGTGTGCCATCTTCATTCACTATTAACCAGTAACATATACACAATATTTACACAATTGTACACATCTCACAAGTGTTACCTGTATTAAACCATCAAAATTGTTAAAATAGACCTTGTAGTTAGAGCTGTGGACTCTCTTGAGTATGGGTATGCAATTTTTGAGCAGAGGCCTAAAAATAGGGCTAGGGTTCAAAATTTAACTTATGGATGTGTTCATTACATCACCATGGCACATATTGTACTGACTCAGCATTCTGAGTAATGTGTGTGTGTTAGTGTTTACTTGCTCCCATGTCCTCTTGATGGCTGCGTTGCATACATGAGGGTTAAAGCACTCATAATGATATGACAGTGTTATTAGTACACCAGCATATCATTACTGTAGAACATGATGAAGGTGGACTCATGATAAGAACAGAGAGAATCACACACTATTGATCTTCACTGCTTCAGTTGATTGAATGTGTGATGATGAATAATACACACACACACACTGATCCGCCCACACACAGATTCACACACATATTCAAACTAGTTCTATATGGTGATCTACACATACATGTATATACACATATATAGTACATGATACATGAGGGCATACAGTACATATATCCTCATATTAATGAGGATCAGTAGATGCTCTTTGGGCTTGTTTTTATCTTATTGTGAAAGAGTTGAGATCATTATTGTCGCTATAGATCTCATTGGATGATGCATTCATTAAGCCTACTGCCAGCAGCTCATTTAAAGACATATCATCTGATTGATTGGGGTGATGAGGCATTAAAATGAGCCGATACATTTACAACACTTACGCATTTAACGTGTGTGTGATATTTTGCGTGCTTCTTGTCTAGCCCTCGCAGCGGTGGAGGTGTTATATTTAGCCGTGATTATGGTCTTGAATTCCTCATATGCGTTCATGATCATCTCCTGCTCGTCAGCGGAGTAAAAAGAGGCTCTTTCTTTGACTTTATTTAACATTGTACTGTTAGAAAATCATGGTTTCGGTGATCAACGCTTCCCCCTTTTGATGTAGGACGGGCACGCGCAATTATCCTGATCCTGATCGTCTGGGTCCAATTAAGGAGACTGTTTGAGAGGATCAGCCTTGGAGAAACCGAGATAGCCTGACTTCAATCATCTCGTTAATTTAGGCTGCTAATGGGACATTTGATCGACTTAGCTGAACCACGTACGAGGAACGGGGCCCTGTTATTGTTGTATTGTTGTTGTAATGTTGTTTTCTGTTTCTCAGCAGAGTTCAGCCTCTGACCTCCTCTGAGAGAGGAGGGATGGAGGGAGGAAAAGTGTGGAGAGGAGGTGGAGGAGGAGACAGCCGCAGACCAAACGGCCTCATCGATACCCACCGGCTGGGGGCGGAGCCTCGGGAGGAGCTGCTGCTGGTGTATTCTGCTCCTGTTTATCAAGGTCACCTGGTGGTGAACCCTCCTCCTCAGGAGAGGAGCAGTGGAGGAGGAGGAGGTGGGGGTCCTCCTCAGCTCCTGAACCCTGGCGCTCTCCTCCCCCAGCAGGAGGTGTCGGACCCCCACTTCACGCCGACCCCTGGTCTCCTCCTGTGGGGGGAGGCCGGGGGAGGAGAGTGCTGCGAGACCTCCTTCATCGAGGGGCTGGGTCCGGACGCCTCCTCCTCCTTCACAAAGGAGGCGCTGCTGTTTGCTGACGCAAAGATCCACACGGTGTCGTACGACGTCGACGAGTTCCAGGAGCTCGAGGTGAAGATTCATGTTCTCCTCTTCTCCTTCTTCGTCTTCTCCTTCATCTCATCGTCTCCTTCTTCTCCTCCTCCTCTTCTCCTTCTTCTTCTTCTCCTTCTTCTTCTTCTTCTCCTCCTCCTACTTCTCCTCCTCCTCCTCCTCCTTGTTCTTCTCCATGTTCTCCTTCTCCTTCTTCTTCTTTTCTTAGTTTCAGAGAAGATCAGTGATGTGTGTCATAAAGGATTTAATTCATCCATCAGAGATAAATGTCTCAGAGTCTTCACACTGCAGGTAACCATGTAAACTCACCTGTGTGATGTCATCAGAGTGAATACTCCAGCCAATCAGAGAGCGAAGACGCCTTCTTGTTGATGCCTCCCAGAGATCACCTGGGCCTCAGCGTCTTCGCCATGCTGTGCTGCTTCTGGCCGCTTGGCATCGCCGCCTTCTACCTGTCGCACCAGGTGAGGACACGCCCACACACCTGAGGACACGCCCACAGACACCTGAGCAAGGCTGACACACCTGAGCTAACCTGACACACCTGAGCTAGCCCACACACCTGAGCTAGCCCACACACCTGAGCTAGCCT